TGTATGTATGTATGTATGTATGTATGTATGTATGTATGTATGTATGTATGTATGTATGTATGTATTTATCGATCTATCTATGTATATTTTCATTTATCCATCCATCCTATACTAGTTTATTCTATTTACTTATATACTCATCCATCCATCTATCTATCTATACATCCACCTATATATCTAATTATATATTCATCTATTCATCTATCTATCTATCTATTCATACATGCAACAATTCACATATCTACCTTCTATTCATCCAACTGCAGGTGTATTTTTCTTCATGAGCTCACCTCTATTAATCTGTGTCTGCTTGTGCTTGTGTGTCTGCCGATCCGTTATGCAGTTCTCCATCTGTGCACCAACCTGTTCAATCACGGTCAACCATTCATCCAAATGTCTACTTCAACTTCATGTGTAAAAATATTATTCTATTTTATCCAACTATCCGTTTGTCAGAATATTCCTTTTACGTTAACCTTGCCTCCAATCTTGGATGGATTTTGAAAAGTTAATATATTGTTCCGCTGCGTTAGCTTCTGAGCCGGGCGCGTGACATTCGTTCTCTGCCATTGCTTATCCGCTTGACGGCACATGATTGTGTGTATAGTGTCGGGATCAGGTGGATTGCGTGTGTTCGCGATGCACATTTCTCCATTCGCATCGTCCGACCATTCTTTCTGTACATAATTAACAGACCTCAGCGTCTTGATACTATCGGAGGACACCCCAAACTGGCTTTCAGCCTAAGGCTCTTAAGTCTGATCAAAATGGGCATATTTCCAGCATCATTCACCATTTATTTATTTATCTTCGATGGACAATTTTAAGACGATCGCCTCAAACCATGTGGCAGATATTTTTACTATTTCGTCCGATTGGACGGAGGCGGTTGCGGTTTCTGTTGGCCGAACTCGTCTTCGAGTGGCCATTCGGGCGACTGTGCGATTATGAGGTCTGTCCAGACGAAGAGGAGGAGAAGGAGGAGGAGAAGGAGGAGGAGGAGGAAAATACGAAGAGGGGTAAGAGGAAATCGGGGCTTTGGGATGAGTTTTGTGACTCTTGTGTATGTGTAGAGTGGGCGGGGAATGGGAAGCATACACATCTTGTCATATCCACTCGGTGTGTTTTAATGAGATCAACTATAATCGGAGCCGATCCCTTCCCTCTTCGGCCTCGTGGCCAAGCCGGCCGGCCTCGGACTTTGTCCTCGCTCGTCTCCACTCTGCCCGTTTTGGCCACACACGCAGGCTCAAAGGGAAAAGGATAAATAAATAAATACACATACCCGTCCCCCCCGCCCCTGCCTCGATCGTCCGTCTCTTCTCAAATGTCCAACAAGCCGACTGACCAACCAATCAGGCCAGGGCAGATGGGACAAAGGGATAAATCCAACTTCTCATCCGGCCATTCCATTAGTCGTCGTCAAAACTCCACCTGGCTCGAGGCGCCTCGGCCCCCGGATGGGCCAATCTTTCCCCTTTGATGGCAGCTTGGCCGATCCGGATGCTGGGCTGGGCTGGGCTGGGCAAAAAACAAAAATACTCTGCCTCTTGTAACACCCGGTGAACACGTGTGAATCTCGGGCCTGGAATGTGTTTATTATTTCGGACAGTCTAGGACAGTCAGTCTAAAAACACAACAAAGGTCAAGCCTGACCGATCAAGTCGGTTGCGTAAACATTTGGCGAGATCTAAAACCTTTATGAGATGGTTTCACGCTTTTTCGCTCAAGGCAATGAAGGACTAATAGTTGAATTTGTTCACCGTCACATGATTTCATATGACGCTTCCATCGAATTGTGGGAAAATTCGATGTGCTGAACACAGTTCGTAGATCAGATTTAATGATAGTCTCTATAAACTCCTCAAACGCGAGTCAACACAAACGTGTCTTTTGTGGAAGGGACGGACAGATTCAGCTCAAGTCTAAGGGCTCCCGTCTTGGGCAAATGTTGGTTCGAGTGGAGAGCGGGTAGCGCGAGTGGGAAGTCGTTCAGAGTTGAGCTCTCTTCCCACTCAAGTAAAGCATGTGTGTGCGGTTGATGAACGCATTGCAAAGGTCGATCCCATCGGAAGATGACCACTGACAGATTCCTCTTGGCCAGCTGAAGCGTTTCTGATGACTTGCATTTCGGCCAAAACGAGCGTTTGGTAGGCGACTTTTCTTGACTTGTCGGTCACATGAGAGACAAACAAACATAACAAACGTAAGGAACATCAGTGAAATGTTGATTAATTGCCAATTATCATTGTCAAATGTACTTCAATTTCGAGTAAAAGTTGGTGTGTGTGTGTGTGTGTGTGTGTAGGTGGGATGAAGAGATTTGAAGTAGGATAACACCAAAAGACGATCAGCAGTAGAGTCCTCTTATTCGGCAGTTGGCCTGACTGGAACATAATAGGTGGGGTTGTCACTGAGGCAGAACAGGGTACCATTCGAACAATCATATTCAAGTTAACGAGTCAAGAAAATTCACCATATTATCCTCAAAGGTCGCATATAAACCGTAAATATATCATCATTTTGACGATGATGTATTAAATTCTTGTCATGCCAATCGAGAAGCATGTGCATTTGCATGTCTGTATGCGAGCGGCTGTGTCGTCATGTGTCTATCTATGCACGGAATGGGTAGCGATGGTTTAAAGTAATTGGAACAGAACGACAAATCTGTATTGTAATGAGATGTATTCACCCTATTTCGTGTAAGGTGATGAAGGACTGGTAGTAGAATTGTCCCACAATCATATGAGTTGAGCTGATGTTTCCATTGGATTTCACATAGCTTTGCTTTCCCAAAAGTTGTTCTCATCCAAGCACCAGTGGACTGCAGTTTCGACCTCGCAGTCCACCCTGGATGAGAACGACTTTTGGGAAAGCAAGGCAATGTGAAATTGAATGGAAACATCAGCTCAACTCATATGATTGTGGGATAATTCTACTACCAGTCCTCATCACCTTACACGAAATAGGGTGAATACATCTCATTACAATGATTTACTGGTAGTCTCAAAACCCTACTCTAATACAAATCTGTACTGCACATCCAATTGTAATGGCTACCAGACCTTAAAGTTTTTAAACGAAATGGGGTGGACACATCTCATTTATCTGATTTCTAAAACCTAATTATAAACCATTGCATGGTAGGAACGGCAATCAAATTTCATGTAAGGGCTTATGCTCAATTGTACGAAGAAAAGTTGCGTTTCGTGGAATCTCTTGTTTCATAATTGTCGAGTTTATTTCCACTTCGAGTAGAAGTGTTGGGTGAAGAGATTCGAAGGTCGGTTCCACCAGGAGACGACGGCGGAGTTTTCTTGACTCGTTAGCTTCAATTTTGATGATTTCCGTCATATCACGGACGAAAGCTTAGCACCTTTCCCA